AAACTTCTCATTAGTGAGATACTAGTAAACTTTATAAAAGGGTGACTACAGACTGTGAAAAATCTTTTCCTTCTTTTTTGTGCCAGTACTAGGGCTTGAACTCAAAGCATTCTACCACTTGAGCTACGTCTACAGTTGGGTATTTTACTGGTCAATTGAAGATGGAGTGTCAAAGACTTCTAATATCAGGCCTGCTTTGAACTCTGTTCCTCCAGGTCTCAGCTATCTAAGTAGCTAGGGTTACCAGTGTGAGCCACTGGCACCCATGCTATATGAAAATCTTAAGGAGAAAGGAAGTAGTAGTATATAGAATGGCTACCACATAAAAACTACACAAAACACTTAATTTCCAAATGTTTATAGATGCACTTTATTAGTGTGCCAGGAGTTTGTACTATAAGCTTTGCATTGACTTCTTTCAGTCCATCAGAACCAAGTATGTTAGGATCAGTGATTATTTTCTGAGTGAGACTGAGGCACAGACAGATGACACATCAACAGAATACAGTTGGCACTGCTTTGAGCCCAGGTAAATGGCTAGTGACTGCAAGCCCAGGTGTGGTGTTGGGGAAGGCTGTACTACTTGTCCTATGCTGTCTCTACAGCACAGCCTCTAGAGACACAGCCACTCTGTGACTGGTCTTAGCATCTGAGAGCACACTTCATTCTCTGATACACACTAAACTGAGTGACACCTGCTATACAATTTTCCCTATTAGAGCAGAACCACTTCATTTTCCAAAGAATAGAGCATCTTGACATTGGAAAAAACAAAACCCAGGAACTTAAAAATAGAAAATCTATAGCAATTATTTCTCTAGAATCTTTTAAACTGTACAATAACTCAAGGGTTTTGTTGTTGTTGTTTGGTCTTGGACAGTCTAAAAACGGCTGAAGCCACATACCAGGAAACTATTAAGGTCTAGACTGGGGCCTTCTTGCTTTAAGATTTCCAACTAATGTCACCTTTTAAGATAGAGTTACCAGTCCCCTCTCCCCCATTATTCTTGCAAAGGGCACAATCCAATAAGAATATCTTGGAGCCCAGCATTGTTGTATAGTTTAAACAAACTTCGAGCTGTTTTAAACAAAATGGACAGATTTTGTGGAACATGCCTGTTTGGGCTGAGAATGATCTATAGGATTATAACACTACAACCAGGATACAGCTGTTGGTGACTAAATCCCTGCTCACCAAATAAGAACTAGCCAGCATTATACATCACCAGACATCTGTTTCCTGTTTTCATTCTTCCCTTTCTCATTCAACCCTGATTTCCTTCCACCTGGAGGCCACCAAAGACAACTACAATCAAGAAGCCTTGTTTGACTCCTTTTCCTTCAAAGACTTGTTGTCAGGAGAGCTTAGTCATTCTACTTGGGAGGATGGGGGAGGGAAACCCAAGAGCTCTCCAGTACATTTGGAGGTGGAAGGCTATTAGGGGAAGAAAGCAGTCTACTTTTAAGTGACTTAATTTCCTCCTCACTTCCCATGAACTACTTTTCCTGTGGAGGCAGAACAGCCCACAGAAGTACAATTGTAAATAGCTTCATAAAAGGAAAACCTACAGCCCTAATAAGGTAAGGCCATAACTTACCCATGGACAGGGCACAAGATATGGTATCTTCTGACCTTATTTCCACTTTATATAGAAGAGGATGTTTAAATTTAAGGGAATTCCTGTGTCTTTTGGGGGAGAGAGATAGGACTAGGGTCTGAACTCAGGGCCTTACTTTTGCTCAGCTTGCTTGCTAGGTTGGTGCCTTACCACTTGAGCCTTGACTTCAGCCTTGCTTTTTGCTGGTTATTTTTGAAGCTGGAGTCACACACTTTTCTGATCCCACTGACTTTGTACCATGATCATTTAGATCTCAGCCTCCTGAGCAGCTACAATTATAAGCATCAGTCACCAATGGGTGCCCACAAGGAACTTCATTCTAGGCAAATCATTGAGATCAAAGTTTTTCTTGGCCCAAGGCAAAAATCTTTATGACTAAGATATTGTAGCTGGTAGCCTGGACAGTGCTAGAGCATTGCCTGGCATACCTGGAACCCTGGGTTCTATCCCCAGCACAGCAAAAAAAAAAAAAGTATATAATTGAAAGAGACTAGACTTCCATTACATAACCTTTACAGTTACTGTATTTTACACAGCTTAATAAAAGTGAAATAACTTACTTATCTAATGTATTCCATCATAAATGGCTTCAGAATAAGAAAGCAGTTGAAGTACTCTTAAAGTATCCAGGAAGTGTCTTTAAAGTAGGTGTAGATTACCAGCTGAGTGTATGCTTAGCACTTATGAGGTCCTAGGCTCAACCTTCAACACCAAATACAAATAAATAAAAGATAAACTACATATAGTAAGTTCTGAATATATAGGTAGTTCTGGGGTTTGAACTCAGAACATGCTTAGACTGGTGCTCTTTTGGCGCATGTTGCCACAACTCCAGCTGTTTAGTTGTCTCTGGTACTTTTCTGCCCAGGCTGGCTTCAAGCCACAATCCTCCAGATCTGTTTTAAGTAGCTAGAATTACAGGAATCAGCCACTGGTACCCAGTTTATCATCTATGCATTTGATTTAGACAAACAATCTACATGGTTTAGTTACCTCTGTGAAGGTCAAAAATGGGCATCAGTAAAAGAAAAGGGGATTTTTGCTCCTTTTAAGACCTAAGTTTCATAAACATGAACTACTTTTGTGAACTATTTTTGTTCTGATTCGAAGTTTTTTGGATCTGGGTACCATGGTTAATTTCTGTAATACTAGGAGGCTGACATCTAGAGGATAGTTTGAAGAGCCTGTGAGAAAGGGAGTGGGTGTGAGGGGTGCAGAATCTGAGACACCATCTCCAAATTAGTGAGCAAACAGGCTAGGGGTATGGCCTAAGTGGTAGAGCTCCAGCCATGAGCAAGAAAGCTGAGAGTGCAAGATCCTGAATTAAAGCTCTGGTATTAAAAAAAGATTGAGGATTTTTTTTCCCCATAGGAACTTTAAGAAAAAAATTGTAATCAACAACTACTAGGAACTCACAGTTAACAGCCAATAAAAGTATCTTCTAGCTATGTACTAGTAGCTCACATTTGTAATCCTAGCTACTCAGGAGACTGAAATCTGAGGATTTCCTGCCAGCCTACGCAGGAAAGTCCATGGAAGTCTTATCTCCAATTTACCACTAGAATACCAGAATTGAAGCTGTGGCTCAAAATGGTAGAGTGCTAATCTTGAGCAAAAAAGTGTAGACAGTCCCCAGGCCCAGAGTTCAAGCCCTATGATGGACGATATATTTTTTTCTTTGTACTTTCTTGGCATTATTCTTTGCAATCTTTGTAAATTTACACCTTATGTTATATTTAAAGTAACTTTCCAAATGCCCAGTAGGGAAAACATAAAATGATTTGTCAAAAACGTTGTATAAACAGATACAGAAAAAAGGTCTTCCGTTTCCAATGCTTTTCCCCTCTTCTCCTTTGAAAATACTTTGCATACCAACATGGATGAATTTACCAATTTATGGTTATATGACTTATCAAACAGCATTCCACAATGGCAGATTTAGAACTAAGGAATTCTGCACGTTTCCTGGGTTTGCCAGATGCAACTCTGCAGCGAACGCCTTCTTGGCCAGCGAGGAAGAACGACCACCACACCAGGAGTCTTCTCAGATCACACTTTATTGGAGAGCTTTTGAGTTGATGGGAGAGCTTGAGCGAGAGACCCCGTGTACAGAAACGTGGCCGCTTATATATGGAATAGGAACACGGGTCGTTCTATCATTGGTCGTCTGCCTTTCACCGTCACCAGGTGCCACGGGATTGGCTGGGGACTCTACGTGGCTCGCGCATGCGCAAAGCCCGGGACCCACAGTCCCGCCAAGCACTGCCTAATATGGAGTTGTTTACCTCAAAGCTGCAAGGAAGTGGGCGCCATCTTGTAATGGCGTTCGCCCCGGCTCCCCGCACAACTCAATTCATCTGAGTTAAAGATTCAGTACCAAACCTGTATCATTTTAGTATCATTCAGTACCAAAAACCCTTGCTCATTATCTTACTAATCTATCATAAAAGGATTTTTTAGCTGAGTTATCAAAATAACTCAGGCCATTCCATAATAGGGCTGTTTCCAAGCTCTGACTGATGGGCTATAAAGAGAAAATGTGTGTGGCAGCATATAGGAACCTTTTTAGAAAAAGTTGGCTTGCTCCTGCTGGTCCTTATTTGAATCTCAAAAATCAGGACCTCCCAGCAGCTCAGGAAGAAGTCCCCTAGGGAGCAGTGAAGTCACTGGGCAGAAGCAACAGCCAACTCAGCACCTTGTGCTTATCTGTGAGAGAAAATGAATGATAGCTCATCCAAACACTGAGACTTGTTCCCACCAGTGGAGCCAAAACTAACCCTAACACACCAACTCTGTTTCTTGAGATCTCTGAAAAATGTTTTTTTTTTTGGGGTCCGGTCGTGGGGGCCTGGACACTGTCCCTCAGCTCTTCAGCTCAAGGCTAGCGCTCTACCACTTGAGCCACAGCACCACTTCCGGCTTTTTTTTTTGCTTATGTGGTGCTGAGGAATCGAACCCAGGGCCTCATGCATGCAAGGCAAGTGCTCTTCCACTGAGCCACCTTCCCAGCCTCTGAAAAATGTTTTTTAATTCCTCTGGAACCTCTGCAATTTCATATTCGACAGTCAAAGATGATCCCAATGGTTTTTGCTAAGTTCTAGGTCAATAATGGTTTATACCAAGCCAAATTACACAAATGCTGGATAAAAACTGAAACACATGGATGGGAAGGAATGGGAAGGGGAACAAAGGAAGAGGCAACAATGCTTGATAAGAAATGTACTCATTATCTTGCCCATGTAATTGTAACCCCTCTGTATTTTCACAATTAAAAAAAAATTTTTTAAGCCAAAACAAACAAACACATTCTTGGCAGAAAAATAGATTGTAAACTCAATCCCAAGTCAGGAGTATATGGAGAAAAGTTAACAAAGAATTACATAGTTTAGATATTTCATTTTATTTCAAGAAAATTAGCCAGGAATCATTTTATTTCTACTGTGAAGGATTGTCATGAATTATTCAAGATGAATTTTAATGAGTATGGTAAATTAAGCTTTCCTAAACTGTGAATACAACATACCCCTAAAAAGCAAATAACCTTACTAGCTCCTGTGTCTTTTATATCAAGTGACTTTAAGCCTGGTATGGTACAGTTCACCTGTATTTCCCAACATTTTGGGAGGCTGAGGCAGGAGGATCACTTGAGCCCAAGAGTTCAAGATGCCATCTCAAAACCAAGCAAACTGAGTATAATTTTCTTACAACCGATTGTTTTTATGGTTTTTCCTCTAACCTCCAATGTTGTTGGAAAATATGCTACTTAGAAGCCATTTATCCTAATCACCTCCATCCCAGGAGAGGGTTCTGGGTAGCAGAGCTTCCTTAGGCTGCTGATTAAAGGACCACAGCTTACCAGCAGCTGCTCTACCTTTGGTTGAGCAGCCTGTTAGTCAATCTAACTCTCCAGTGTTGTTCTTTCTGCTTCACAGCAATAACAAGACAAATCTTGTTAAAATCATGACAAAATGGGCCAGAAATATTCTAAAATAGTTGTAATCATTCTGCAATAGACAACCAGAATTTCAATCTTCGATACACAACCCACAGATTTGGTTCCTATGTGCAGTCTTTGCTTCTGCACTTTAAAATTATTTTAATTTTAGGAGAAAATGAAAAAGCCATGATTACAGTAATAGTATACACCACTATCTGGAGGATGACACATTTGGAGAATACAGTAAGAAACCCGATGTTCAGTCCTTTTCCTGGTACTCTTCAATAACTGCCTTCCTGGAAGGAATTCATGAGCTGTAATACTTAAGGAGATTCTCATCTGTAGGTTTGAGAATTTTCTTATCTGCCATATTCACTACCCATCCTGGAGCAAGACCAAAGAAAATCTGCCTCGGATCCTTCCGCGTACTGAGCATTTTGAAGAGTTCATCTTTAGTGATATCAGGGAGAACATAACCATATTTCTTGGCAAGTTCAAGTCTTGCTTCAGGAAACTTGGCAGGATCTGCCAGGTAACCCCGGTTCTTGGCATCTGTGTAATATAGTACCAGATCTTCAGGTGGAAGCATTCGTTTTGGAATGGGTTGTCCACGCAGAAAGAATGGAATAGGCTTGCACAGAATTCCTAAAAATAAATAAATAACTGTAAATATTGGCTCTTTAATGACTATTATACTTAAGAAAGAGATGAGAATTATACTAGTAAATACATTTACTAAGTTTTCAATTATGAGAGAAATGAATGGAAGTTATCTGTTACAAACTACAAACTGAGGACATGAATGCCTAAGGATCAAGGCAGCAACAAAATACAAACCTGGCAAAAAAAAAAAAAAAAGTAACAACTAATAGGTAACAGAGAGAGAAAAAGAAATGACAATAATTAAGCTTACCTAGACTTATTGGATCATAGAAAGCTGTAGTAACAACACCACCATTTTTTTCAATTGCAGCGATGGCCAGTTCTGAAGCCAACTGTACTTCAATGTTAACTTTTGCCTGAAATGTGTCCGCACCCTGTCATAGGTCAGAATGAAATCGGTTAGTAAGGTGTTTGACTAAAAATAATTACAGCAAGCTTCTTTTAAATTGTTTCCCCTCCAAGCTATCTATAATGTAGTAACAATGCCCTTATTTGCACCAGCCTTAGGCTTCAACTCAGGGCCTGGGTGCTGTCCCTGAGCTTTTTTTGCTCACGGCTAATGCTCTACCACTTGAGCCAAAGCTCTACTTCTGGATTTTTGGTGACTAACTGGAGATGATCTTGGATTTCCAAGATCATTTCCAAGCTGGCTAGGCCAGCTCTGAACCACTATACTTAGATTTCAGCCTCCTCCATAGCTAGAAAGATAGGCATGTGCCATTACACCTGACTAGCAATCCCCTATTTTTAAATATCTCTGCTTTAGGGTTCTATCACATTTTTTTCTACATTATTTTTAGGCCACTCTGTTTTACCAATTCTCAATCTGTGTAGAATAACTATTTCCATATTTATTCCAGAACTATGTTACCTATTTATTTAATAGTAGATTGGTTAATCCTTGTAACCATTACATAAATAAAAACACTCAAACACAGAAGAATAATTTGTCTAAGATCACAAAGTTAGGATTCTAACCCAGGAAGTCTAGTGAGAGTCATAGCTTTGAGGTAGGTTGTTTTGCTTCATTTACAATGTTGGGGAGTGGGGATCAAATCCAGCCTCAAACATACAAAGCCAGTGCTCTATCACTAAGCTATACCCCCAGCAGCATTCATGTTCTTAGCTACATAATAGAACACAATATAGATTAAAAAACAACAACAACTAATCTTCTTTATGTCCAAGGAGTTTAAAGAGGGGCTAAAGGATGTTGAGCAGGTAGAAGACCAAAAGTATCACACAATATCTGTACTTCAGAGGGGTTAGCCCTCTCTGAAAGGAAAAAGGCAGAAAACAGAACTCATTTTACATGAGTTCTGAGGCTGGAAAAGAATAAGTATGCTTTTTCCTAGAACATTCGACACCAGAAAACACAGTACTGAAAATTTTAAAGCTATGTTTTCAGTCACAGAAGAGGCTAATTTTTCTCTACTTTCAAAACAGATTTACTTCAAAATAGGAAGACAGCAGCATTTTCACTCTTTTTGGTCAAGGACATTTCTTGCCTATATTTAGGTATATTTAAAACAAATTAGTTTCCATTTTTGTTCCTTCTTTTATAAATTGTTCATGTATTTCAAAATATTTCACTGAATCTAAGATGCATTTTCTCACATTTTTTTGTATCTGATATTGTTGTATATATTTATAATCAGGGACAGCTTTGATTAAAAAATTGGGACCTTGACATATTCTGATTTTTATTTTATTTTGTTGTTCTGATCCTTAGGACATGGCGATTCTCCCTGTGCTTCTTTAGCTCAAAGCCAAGACTTTACCACTTGAGTCACACAGTCCCATTTCCAGCTTTTTTTTATTTTATAGCTTATTAGAGATAAGAGTCTTGGGGCTGGGAAGGTGGCTCAGTGGTAGAGTGCTTGCCTTGCATGCCTGAGGCCCTGGGTTCGATTCCTCAGCACCACATAAGCAAAAAGAAAAAAGCCGGAAGTGGCGCTGTGGCTCAAGTGGTAGAGCGCTAGCCTTGAGCTGAAGAGCTGAGGGACAGCGCCCAGAGTTCAGGCCCCACGACCAGACCCCCCCACCCCCCCAAAAAAAAGTCTTACAAACTATCTTGCCCAGGCTGGAGTCAAACCACGATCCTCAAATCTCAGCCTCAAGTAGCTAGGATTATAGATGTGAGCCACCAGTGTCCAGTGAATTGTGATTTTTTTAAATTACTGCTCCATAGACACTTAGATGTAACCCTATTCTTGAACACTGGTGTCAGTTCCAGTATTTGCAGTATTTGTAAATAGCATTTTTAGGAAGGTTTCTTTGACAATATATATTTCCTAGTTTATCTGGTACTGGCTGATCAACACTGTCTTGATATCCACTACTTAATTACAAATCTGAAATTCAGAAAATATAAATAAGGTTCAAAGCTATAAATGATGTGATTGCATTTACTCAATCATTACTCCAGTAGACTTTGCAGGATAATTTTCACTAATGTAATATATAAACATCTGAAGTATATTAGGATGTTATAATTTAAGTGATGATGAACTCATGGGTTCTTCCATATTAGGATACATGTCTAAAGCTGAAGAGTTGCTCAAATGGTAAAGTATCAGCCTAGCAAGCACACACACATAAAACATGCCTATTGCCTTATTTCCAGACTTAGTACACATTGTTTTGAATAAGTGTAGTCAAAAAATATAATATTCTGGACATCAGTGGCTCATACCTACTACAATCCTGGCTACCAGGGAGCCAGCCAAGGGAAGACAAAACTATGAGATTCTTATCTCCACTTGAACAGAAAATAAAAGCCAGAAATGGAAGTGGTACAGCACCAGATCTGAGTGAAAAACAAAAAAAACAAAAAACATCAAGCATTTAGTCATACGTTCAAGCCTAGTACCAGCACAATTAAAGTAAATGACATAAGATCAAAAGGTCAAAACCAAAATTCTAAATTCCCAGACAAAACATACAGCTCAGCCAGGTGCCGGTGGCTCACACCTATAATCCTAGCTACTCTGGAGGCTAAGATCTGAGGATTATGGTTCAAAGCCAGCCCTGGCAGGAAAGTCCATGAGACTCTTATCTCCAATAAACCACTCAGAAAAACGGAAGTGGCACTGTGGTTCGAGTGGCAGAGCAGAGCACTAGCCTTTAGCTGAAGAGCTGAGGAGCAGCGCCCAGGCCCAGAGTTCAAGTCCCATGACCAACTGCAACAAAAAAAAATACAGCTCTGTTGATGCAGAGGAGCTGTGCCAGTCTTTATCTACTGTTTCTCAGATTATAATTTTGTAAATATATGCCTTGCAAAAAGCAATTGTGGCCCTAAAAGCAGCTAAAAGTTAATGTACATAAAATGAAATTTGAGATTTGCTGATGATAAATCTTTAGTGGTATTACTAAAAAAAGTGTCAAGCATCTACAGTAATGTAGTACTTTTTCAAAGTAATCTAAAAGGTTTTCCATAAACGCATACTTCCCTCTAGTGGACACTCTTAACTGATGCTAGAATGGGAGTTGGTTCATTCTCTCCCCTCATAAATATTAACCAAAAACTATCATATGAGCTAATATTTCCAATATTTTGAAATATAGCAATAAAAGTACCTGCCCTCACAGGAACTTAAATTGGTAATAAATGTCAGCTGTTCATTATTCAAAGAAAAATATGTGGGGTAGGTAAGGCAGGCACAGAATGTGACAAGGACCAGGAAGGTGCTCTTTCATAAGAAGCTGTAAAAAAAAAAATCATTCCTGACATGCTGGTATTGAGAAGAAAACGAAAGAAGTAAAGGAGTAAGCTAGAAAGATACACAGAAACACATTCCAGGACAAAGGCACAAAACTCTACCCAGAGTGTCAACTGCCTAAATGCATAATTAAGTAAACAATCACTGCTATGCAGTACTTAATACAGCTCCACAGTTGTGTAACTATAAAAACAGACAAGGAAACCTGTTGAATTATTCTGGGAAGAACTGGGGCTGAGAAGGTAGCTCAGTGGTAGAGCGCTTATCTTGCATGCATGAGGCCCTGGGTTCAATTCCTCAGCACCATATAAGCAAAAAGAAAAAAGCCCGAAGTGGCGCTGTGGCTCAAGTGGTAGAGTGCTGGCCTTGAGCTGAAGAGCTGAGGGACAGCGCCCAGACCCAGAGTTCAGGCCCCACGACCGGACCCCCCCCAAAAAAAACAAACAAACAAGAATTATTCTGGGAAGGGAAAGTGATAAGAGGGGAGAAGCTTGACTGGAATATATTGTAAACATGTGAAAATGTAACAGTGAAATTCCCTTCTGTATAACTAAAGTAAGCAAAGAAGCAAGGGAAAAAAAAGGAAGGAAAATAGGAAGGAAGAAAACACACTTTACAGCTCCTACTGCATAAAAATAAAATTAGTAGAGTGTTGATTACAGTAATTTCCCTTTAATCCCAGATTGCTTTCTATACTTACAATCTCCAAGATCCACTATAGTCCAAAACGATCAAATGGAAAATTCCAGAAATAATTTCTAGTTGTCTTTTTTTCAATATTAGCAATTGAACCTAATATAGCTAGGAAAGTGCTAGACCTCGGCCCTTTATAAATTTTAAAATGCTTGCTGGGTAGTGTGATGATATCTTATACTGTCCTGCCCAGTCTGGCCTAGAACAATCATCCCTTTTCCTACCAAATTTACATTTGTTTGTTACAGCATCACAGTGCTTGGCTTTGAGTAGCTCTCATTTTATTTAATAATGACCCCAAAGCTAAATAGTGTATATGTAGTGTAAAGTTAAGTAGTCACTAAGTAGTGACACTTATGAGAAGATAAAGAGGTTGCTAAGATCTTTGTCAACGAATTGATATTAACCTCAAACTGTGCCTAATTTATAAAGTAATCTGTATTACAGTTATGAATGTAAAGAATATGGTGTTATACAGAGCTGGGGAATAGCTACACCATAGAAAATGGGCAGACTGCTGTACACAAAAATTTTAAAAGTATCTATTTAACACCAAGGAATCTTCTAGAAACTTACCTCCTCAACCAGCTGGACCCCATAATCCCTCTTATAGGGCTGGATAGTCACACCTCTTCCATTAACAAGCTGGGTTAGATCAATAGGTTGCGTTGGATCAACTCGACCCAAATCAATAAGATACTGCAGTCTCTTTAGACTCAAAGGATGATACTGGCGTCTGAAGCTATGAAACAAGAATGTAAGTGACAAAATAAAAATTAATCTTCCTGTAAGTTCTGCAAATCACCTCAGAGCTTTATTTTGTGTTTTCCTCAGCACTTTTACGGCTTACTAAAATAAAACCCTCCTGTACAATACAAACATGTAACAAAAATCAGTATATCCTTTGTTGTTGTTGCATCAACATTAATTTGTCTCACTATATATTTACTCATATGCACAAATAAGCAAACAAATTTATGGAATATTTAACTATTTGACTTAGTAAAGGAACATAAAGTAATAATAATAGCTATTACTCACTTGATGACTACAAAGGGAGAGATTTTCTTAACTGCTAACCCTCTAAAGAAACATGAGTTTAAACATTATCATGTCCATTTTTCAGGACTGAGTATATCTTGGCTTCTCTCTTCCTTCAATAATCCAAGCTAAATTTTGTTACCAAAAATGATTCAAAGGGCTAGGCAATAGTGGCTCACAAGGGATCTTAAGTATTCAGACCTTGAGGATGGTAGTTCAAAGCTAGTCTAGACAGAAAAGTCTGCTAGACACTATTTCCAACTAGCAAAAAAAAAAAAAAAAATAGGGCTGGAGGTATAGCTGAAGCTGTAGTGTGCCAGCTATGAACAAGAAAGCTGAAGGAGAATACAAGATCTGAGTTCAAGATCCTGTTCAAGCACACAGATGCGTGCGTGTGTGTACACATACACACTCTCTCTCTGAGGAGCAGTATTAAGTTTGCTTCAAAGTATATTTTAAACTTCTACCAAATTCACAAGTGATCCTCTGTGGAAATTTGGAATTTGCACTTTAAAAAGTAGCAACCTTACCTATGTCCTTCATTAAATCCGTATTTTGGAATTCGAATGTAAAATGGTGTCTGGCCTCCCTCAAAGCCCAGCCTGGGTCGAGTTCCTCTCTGCCTTTCTCCTTTATGGCCTCTGCCACATTTCCTACCTCTTCTTCGACCTCTTGGACGTCTTTCCTAAAGGAAAGAAGAGAGTTTTAGGATCTCCAGATACATTTCTACAAAAGTGTATTTAATCTCTTTACTTAGTGTTTTATTATTATTCCCTTCGCTCATACAAATAGCACTGGTTTCAGGTGCTGTGTGCCAAGCACCGTTTTATCTGCTCAACCATCCTCACACTCTACTGGAATCTGTCTCTGAAAACCTGGCTACAAACTTGGGCAACTAAATACAAGATGTGTTTCAAATACAAAGTTCAATAGATGGGACAGGAATAATAAGGGTTCTGTAGCAGGCAAGCGCTGGGGGGAAATCCTACAACTGTAGGAATAAATATAAACAAAAGTTTACGATATTCAAGAAAATGCCTTACTTTGGAGTGAATCGTAAATATATAATTTTATCCGCTTCATTTTACTTGAATTCTATTGCACAAAGAAAAGCTTTTCCTCGTTCCTACTGCTTCGTGAAAGCAGGTGAAATCTGTTACAATGACAGCGCGCTCACAATGCACAGCTTTTCGCCCTGCATCCGGTGCGTTTCAGAAGACAGTAGACGGTAAATCAATTCGGATCTTTACTATGACGATCAAGACTCTAAGCACTTGAAAACCATTCTGTGGTTTCTGCGGGTTCGCTCCAAACATACACTTCATGCGCATGCGGGCGCGGGGCAGGGGCGCGGGGCAGGGGCGCGGGGCAGGGGACCTGGGTTCGGACGCCCGCGGCCGCCTCAGCTCCCGGCCCGGACAGCCGTTCCCGCCAACCTCGGGCCGGGCCCGCCAGGCCGCAGTCGCTGCCCTGATATCCACCGCAACCCCGCACCGCCACCAGCCTGTTTACCGGTTTCCTGGAGCCGGGATTGGGCTTCAAGTTGGCCAGGGACACTCGAGGCAACACCCGGAGCAGATCGAGAGACCGGGCCCCGCCGCCTCGAGCAGGACCGGCCATGACCCCCTCGGCGTGAGGACTTCCAAGGGCGCCCGGAGCGCAACCCCCGAGGTCACGTGGCCACGTAGTCGCGCCGTGCTGCTTTGCGCTTTACGGCCACGGCCCTCCCCTGTCGCGCCGCCGCTGCGCGCGGGAACTCGGCGTAGGGCGGGGTCTTCCGGGGCTGCCCGGGATGCTGCGGGGAGTGGCTTGCGGTTAGTTCTCCCCGGTTAAGGTCGTGTTTTCCTGGGTCGTGCCTGGCTCTCAGCCCCGTTCGGTATTCTGAACGAAAAACGGAGTCCGCATCGAAGACGCCCTGCATTAAAGAGATATCCTGGGCTCCCGTGGCTCAAGCGATGAAATCTTAGCCTAGCAGTTCGAAGTCAGCCTGCGAAGGAGAATCCCTGAGGTTTCCCGGCTAGCTCCCAGATAGCCAGAAAGGGAGCTGTGGCTCCAGTGCTCTGAGTTCAAACCCCAGGACCAGCACAACAACAGCAACAAGACACAAGTGAGAACTACGTTAAGGAAGACACGGGGGAATGAGCGAGTTGATTAAGCAGAACTAAGTGCATTTTTAAAGCCAGTCCTGGGGCTTGAACTCAGGGCTTGGGCACTGTCCCTGAGCTTTTGCTCAAAGCTAGCCCTCTACCCCTTGAGCCACGCCCATTTCCAGCCTTTTCTGTTTATGTGGTACTGAGGAATCGAACCAAGATCTTCATGCATGCTAGGCAAGCACTTTACCATTAAGCCACATTCCCAGACCCACTTAGTGCATTTTAAAATATAAATATTATTTCCAGATTATCAGATTATTATATGTGTGTATCTATGTATACCATAGAATTTTAGTTTCAGAAAAAAAAAAGCTCAGATGACTAAAAGGAAAGTGCTTCATAGTTGGGTAACAGTGGCTAACGCCTGTAGTCCTAGCTACTTTGTAGGCCGAGATCTGAGGATTGAGGGTTGTGGTTTCAAAGCCAGCCAATGCAGGAAAGTCTGAGGCTCTTACCTCTAAATAATCACACACACACACACACACACACATACACACAGGAGGAGGGAGGGGGGGGCAGGGAGAGAGGAAGGGGGAGGAGGGGGAAGAGGTGGCCGAGGTGACAGAGGCCAGGGCACCACCAGAAGTGGCCCTGTGGCTCAAGTGGTAGAGTGCTAGCCTTGAGCAAAAATAAAAAGGAGCTCAAGAATGGCATCCAGGTCAGGCCCAGAGTTCAAGCCCCAGAGCTGGGGTGGGGCGGAGAGAAAAGGAAGAAAGTGCAAGTGCTTCATCTTATCAAGTACAGTTTTAAAAACAATTGAGTTCTTTGGGGGAGAATCATATTAGTCTTGCCTTTTATCAGAGAATTGTTAGTTGTTTTGTTGGTAATCCACTTGTGTCTGCAGCCTTACACCCCACTTTGTTTTCATTTTTATCAGTGGGTTTTTCCATAGTCTTTCTAGACCATATACAACCAAGAAAAGGGGACAAGAGAGAATATATGTATGGCTCCAAGAAGTTTGTGAAGATCCAGAGCAAAACTGGAATGACACCAGGCTTAAGCTCATGAACATGACCACAAAGCCTAGGTGGAAATACCTGTACTTCTAGATCTTGGGTTTTACTTAGAACTTCAATTCCTTTGGGGAAAAAAAGTTGCAAAATATAATTACAAATTGTACTCCAGTCTACAGAAAGATATACAATTTTTTCTCCTACCTATAAAATCATTCTTTGCATTAAATACTAAATTTCTGCAGAGCGTTTGCAGAGTGTCTCTAGACCTGGGTCCAGCATGGCTGACCACACTGTGTCTGCTCAGACTGATCTATTTCAACACTGGAGATGCTGCTTAGGGCCCCACTTCTGCCATCCCAGGTTTGTTTCTGTCCCTGGTGATTTCTTACATAGGAACTGAGCCACCCTTTGGTTTCTACTGAGGATTGGCTGGCAAATGAGACCTTTGTCTAAATTAGACCATATTCTACCAAATGAAAAGGATGAGCCAGGCCTTGGTGAATATAGTCAGGACAGCCTCTGAGACTGAAATCAACATCTTTGGATGGTCCCATGCCCAGAATCATGTGAGGAGCAGTCCATTGGCACCAAAAAAAAAAAACCGTAATGTTCAGAGAGGTGAGAGACTACTGCTTGAGCCACAGCTCCGCTTCTCTTATTGGTGGCTAATTGGAGATAAGAGTCTCATGGAATTTTCTGCCAGGCTGGCTTTAAACCTCGATCCTCCAGTCCAGTCTTAAACAAAATGTTGCCAGCTCTTTTCCCTCAGCCTTTCCTTGTAGATGGTTGATATCAATTACTTGTCTTCCAGCTAAGATCAAACAATTTGAAGAGCTCTTGAAGAAACCAGTCATAGACACTTCCCAGCATCTCCTTTAAAACAGTGTACTTGTCAGGAGTACAGCCCTGCTTCTCCTACTTAAGTTAGAAAGCAGCTAGTATTCTTAGGTTGTTACATTTGTTTTTCATGTGTTTTCAGGGGTAGTAAGAACTATTCTAATTAATGATTTGGGGCAGTCAACTAGCATACAAAGATTTTTTCTCATATGAAATAAACCAAATACATATATAAAAACTTCTAGTTGAATGTAAAAAAAAAAGTTTTGGGCTTAAAAAAGTTTAGGGCTTAAACTCAGGACCTGGGTGCTGTCCCTTAACTTTTTCACTTAATGCTAGCACTTTGCCACTTGCGCCAGAGTTCTACTTTCAGCATTTTTTGTGGTTAATTGGAAATAAGAGTCTCACAGACTTTCCTACCCCAGGCTGGCTTTAAACCACAACCCCCAAATCTTGGTCTCCTGAGTTGCTAGGATTACGAGCATGAGCCAGAAGAGCTTGGAACCTATAACTTTTTAATTGTGGTATAAATTCATATTGAGTAAATGCAATACAAGGAAAGAAATGCACTGCCCTTGTTGGAAGTAAATATAATCTTTGTTGTATAGGTTATGCGATGTCATTGGTGAGCATCAGTTTGCAGCTAATTGTAAACTTTATCTTTGTGTTCCCATATTCAGCCTGTTGATTAAGCCTATAGAAGTATCAGAATAATTTGAAGAAATTCATTTGTGTCTTAAAAATGTCGATTAAGGGAGTGCAGTAAATAGGCATGTGATTCTTTCTTTCTTTTCTTTCTTTCTCTCTTTTTTTCTTTCTTTCTTTCTTTCTTTCTTTTTGTCGGTCATGGGGCTTGAACTCTGGGTTTGGGTGCGGTCCTTGTGTTCTTCAGCTCAAGGCAAACACTCTACTGCTTGAGCCACAGCACCACTTCTGGGTTTTTAGTTGTTTATTGGAGAAAAGAGTCTCATAGACTTTCCTGCCCGGGTGGCTTTGAACCCTGATCCTCAGATCTCAGCCTCCTGAGTAGCTAGGATTACAGGCATGAGCCACCGGCACCTGGCTTAGGTGTGTGATTCTTTAAGTCTAGGGAAGTTTATATCCTCATCATGATAATCATACAATTGGTATTCATTACAAACCAATATATTTGGGGATTATTCTAACTCATGTTTAAATCAAGGATGGCTTGAAATTAAACATTTATTTCAACAAGTCAGGTCCATCCTGACCCCAGGCTTAGCTAATAGTGACTACTGATCATTACATAAAAAGACTGAAATGAACCCTATAAAGATGATACAATTTAAAGTTCTTTGGGAAAGCCTCACACACTCTCAAATAATCTTCCCCCATCTAACCAATGTCTAATACTCTGTCAACATAGATTAACTCCTTTTAGTTCATTATTTTTAAAAATACTCAAGTGAGCAGACAATGGGAGTAAGAAACTGAAAATAAAAGGGACTGAATTCATCACATGACCATAAAAATAATACACTGCAAAAATGTAGTGTTTGATCTGCTAATTATCTGCTATTGCAATGGTGAAAACAGCAAAAACAGTGCTGGGTACAGTGGTACAAGCTTGTAAACCCATCAGTTAGGAGGCTGAGACAATAGGATTGGTTAGTTTGAGGCCAGTGTGGGCTTTGAAGCAAATCTCTGTCTCAAAAACAAAACAATGAGGCACCAGTGTCTTACGGCTGAAAGCTTAGCTACTCCAGAGTCTGAGACCTGGAAGAAAAAGAGAGGCACAAAGTCCAAGTACCAGCAAAAAGCTATGCTAGAGGCATGGCTCATGTGATAGAGTACCAGCTATGAGTAAGAAGGTCCAGAAGCTAACCCTCTGCATTCAAGTCTTGGAACAAACAAAACAAAACAAATCCAAAAAACAGAAACCACTTCATCTTATCTGCCGAAAAGAGAAAATAAGATAACTAATTAATATTTTGTCAGAGAATAGGTGAGAAGGATTTCTTTGTGTAGGTGCGTGTGTGCAAGTGTGTGTGTGTGTGTGTGCGCGCGCGTGCGCACACGCACACACACACGCGCGCACACACACACACACATGTGCACTGCTGCCAGTCATGCAGCTTGAAGTCAGGGCTGGATGTTGGTGCTGAGCTGGTCCTGGGCTTTTTTATTTTTTTCAAGGCTAGCACTCTACTGCTTCAGACATAGCCCAACTTCTAGCTTTTTGGTGGTTAATTGGAGAGAAAAGTCTCATGGACGTTTCTTCCAGGGCTGGCTTTAAACCACCATCCTTAGGGGCTGGGAAGGTGGCTCAGTGGTAGAGTGCTTGCCTTGCATGCATGAGGCCCTGGATTCGATTCCTCAGCACCACATAAGCAAAAAGAAAAAAAGCTGGAAGAGGTGCTGTGGCTCAGGTGGTAGAGCACTAGCATTGAGCTGAAGAGCTGAGGGACAGCGCCCAGGCCCAGAGATCAGGCCCCATGACTGGACCCCCCCCCCCCCCGCAAAAAAAAAAAAAAAAAAAACAAATAAACCACCATCCTTAGATCTCAGCCTCCAGAATAACTAGGACTATAGGCATGAGCCACCATTGCAGAAAAGATATTTTGTTGTTGTTGTTGTTGTTTTCCCTCCTGTCAGTCACGGGGCTTGAACTCATGGCCTGGGTGCTATCCTTGAGCTCTTTTGTTCAAGGTTAGTTTTCTACCACTTTCTACCACTCCATGTCTGTTTTTTGAGTAATTAGTTGGAGATGAAATCTCACAGGA